GACATAATGAGACTCTGTTTCAAAAAAAAAAAAAAACAATAAGTTACCATTTAATGAAGCAGTCTATATGCCAGACTCTTTGCCAAGCACCTTACATATATTGGCCCATTTAATCTTCTCAGCAACTAAGGTAGGTATAATTATCCCCTTTTTATCCTCTTTTTAAAGGGATGTGAAGTGTCCTACCCAGGATCACAAATTTAGTGAGTGGTGGAGCCCAGGATCTTCCTTGGCCACTAAATGAGCTCTACCACTACCCTATTTCAACTTAACTTCTGAATAACATGGGTGGCAAGGGCTGCAGAGCACGGGGGCGGGGGGGGGGCACTGTCCTCCCCAGTACTCCTCCTCCTGGCTGGTGTGGATGGCTCAACTCAGTGTGGGAAGGCAGTAAAGTAGGGCAGAAGGAGCCTAGCACTTGGAGCCAGAGATCTAACTCCCAATCACGGTCCTTACTTTGACTCTGAGCTTCTGTCTTTTCATCTGTAAATGAAGATTACCCTCAAACTGCTTGCCTGAGTCCCCAGGATTGTGGGGATCACTTAAGGGAAAACACCTGAAGGTTGTTATAAACTGGGAAGTCGGTGAGGCGCTGACAGATTATGATTATTATTATGTTTTCCATTCATGACCCGCCATCAAGTATTCCTAAATAGCCTAAGCTCTCAGGTCTAAGCCAAAGTGCTCCTTATCTAAAAGCCCTAGAAGAATTAGTCTCAGATCTCCCCACTTACATAAGAAAGCAAGAAAGAGCTTCTGCATCAGGACTTTGGGGGAAATGCCTCCGGGCCAAAGCTTTGTAACGCTGCCAGCGACGGAAGTTCTCATAAACACCCTTGGAAGTATAGGAGAGGTCACCCAGTGAGGGCTTCGATTGGATGGCTGCAAGGCCTCCTTCCCCGGTGGTGCCATGTAGTCCTGGCCAAGCCTTTTCCAAAGGCACAATAGGGGCCAGTTGGGCAACTGGTGGTGAAACCTGAGGGGGGGTCCCAACAGCCTTTGTGGGCAAAATGGTCTTCATGTTAGAGGCTGTCACAAATAGAGGTGGAGGATCCTCAGGACCCCCGCAGGGAGCACCTGAGGCAATCCAATTGAGGGCCGTCTGAGTAAGGAAAAAGTTCTGAGTTTGAGAGGGCTCAGCTGGTCCTCCTTCTGTCTTAACTTTGACAATGACCTTGCCAGCCCCAGCTCCACTAGGGCAAGGGCCCCCATCCCCTGTCACCAACAATGGGCTGGGGAAAGCAGAGAGCACAAGTGGGTTGCCTGGAGAGAATGCTGGAGGCATGGGGGCCTGTGGAGGTGGCTCCCAGGGTGGTTGGTCTGGTGGGCCAGGAGTAGATGAGGGAAAGGGAAGTGCAGTAAAAGGAGACAGGGTGGCACCAGGTTTCATGGTCATATCAGGTCCTGGCAATGGAGATGCTGTTGAGACAAAGAAAAAAAAAGGCATGGAGTAGGAGAAAAGGAGACCAGAGTTAGTCTTAGTTCCCCAATAGACCTTAAAGCCTCAGAGCAATGATTCTCAACAGGTGACGGAGGGAATAGGGAATGTGCCTCAGTAGTTGGCAAATGTCCTCCAAATGATTTTGATGTCCCTTACTCCAAGTTGAGAATTACTGTATTATAGAAGTTGTTGTTTATTTTTTGTTTATTTGGTTTTTGTTTTTCTAATTTTTTGGTAGAGAGGGGGACCTCACTATGTTGCCCAGGCTAGTCTTGAACACCTGGCCTCAAGCGATCCTCCTGCACTCAGAGTGTGCAGAGGCGTGAACCACTGCACTTGGACACTGCTCCCTTTCCAAGGAGACACATAGGCCCCTGTCTGCCAAGAAGAGACATGCCCAAGGCATCCTAAGAGCTTCTCTAAGAAAATTCCTGGCAAATATCGCCTGCTAGCCCCCTCAGCCATTCCCTAAGACATGGAAAGGACTGACACCCACTCTGCGGGGATAACAATCCACAGCAGGCTCAATGCAGTAAGAGTCCAGGACAAACTCTGGCCTCACTCCGGTTACCCACACAGGCCCTTGGGAAAGAGGCAGTTTCCAAAAGATTCTTGGTCCATTCCCTCTAAATCTCTGTCTTTCCTAATCTGAAACAGCAGCAGAAGAAAGGCACAGTCTACAGGCAGGAGCAATGATTCCAGGACACGTGAAGTTCATATGTCCTATCACATCCACTCATTAAACATGTACGTCTCCTATTCGTGCCTACTGCAAACAAGAGATTCAAACCACTTGAACCCTGCTTGCTCCCAGCTGCTCTGAGGCCCATCACCACTCACAGAAGTGCTGCTCCCAGGAGAGGGTATGTGAATTGGAATTCTGGTTCCCAGAAATTCTGTTATATAACAACCAGGAATAACTGCACAGGATTAGATAAGGAACAGGAAGTGAGTGAGGGAAGAATGTCATGGAGAGGGAGTTTCCAGAGATTTAAAAACGGTTAAAATTTGGTGATGCACACTATTTGTATTCCTTCTGTTTGGAGTTCCTTATACCAGAAATTTAGGGCCCACTAGGAACAGGGAGCTGAGCTAGGTGCTAAGGAAAGGACAATGAAGTCTGGAACATAGTTTCTGCTGAAACGGAGCTATACAAACTCCATTTAAAGAGCCCAAAGGTAAGTATGTACTATGTACTTTATCAGTCAGGATCAAGGCTGGTGGCTGGGGAGGTGGCTCACATCTGTAATCCTAGCACTTGGGGAGGCTGAGGTGGGAGAACTGTTTTGAGGCCAGGAGTTTGACGACCAGCCTGAGCAAGATAGCAAGATTCTATCTCTACAAAAAATGTTTTATAAAAACAGGTATGATGGCCTGTGCCTGTAGTCCCAGCTACTCAAGAGACTGAAGTGGGAGGACTGCTTGAACTCAGGAGTTCAAGGCTGCAGTAAGTTATGGTTGTACCACTGCACTTTAACCTAGTGACAGAGCGAGATCCTGCCTCAAAAAAAAAAAAAAAAAAAAAAGAATTAATCAAGACCTGTGTCTCCGGCTCGGCGCCTGTGGCTCAAGTGGCTAAGGCACCAGCCACATATACCTAGGGTGGCGGGTTCAAATCCAGCCCGGGCCACCAAACAACAATGACAGCTGCAACCAAAAAAAATAGCCAGGCGTGTGGCGGGCACCTGTGGTCCCAGCTACTTGGGAGGCTGAGGCAGGAGACTTGCTTGCGCCCAGGAGTTGGAGGTTGCTGTGAGCTGTGGTGCCACGGCACTCTGCCCAGGGGGATAGCTTGAGGCTCTGTCTCAAAAAAAAAAAAAAAAAGACCTGTGTCTCCTAGGACTTTTAATAATAATAATAATAACAATCAATAAACATAATCTATTTAATTTTAAGCTACTCTCCAATCCCTTACAAAAAATATTCCACTGGCAAACTAACAACACTCAGCTTCAGCTTTCTAACCATGGAATACATGCATGAGCAAACTCAGATTCAAAGTCATCTCAACCATAGAGCAGAGGGATGGGAGTATGCCATGGAGTACTGAACACAATGAAAGGGGTCTGAAGGCCTGAGTTCCACAAAACAGAAGAACTAAGAACATCTCTAGGAAGTCCCGGCTCAAGACCTGGCTGAAGGGACAGCTCCGCTAGCCATGATGAAGCAAGAAAATTGCCTCCTGGACTGAAAAGAGAAGCCACCACTGTGGCTGGAAGGAGCCATGGGACTCTGAACAGAGGGAGTTACAGTAACTTCCAGCACAGAAGACCTTTATTTGTCTACAACAGAAACCCTACAGAACAGTTTTCCCCCAAAAGACTACTCCAGGCCCCTACTCTACCATCCTCTACCCACTCCTACCCTCCATAAGATGACAATGCCCTCCACTCCCAGCCCAACTATATTCTTAGGGCAAAATCTTAGAGCAGGCTCCTATTGAGTAAAGAAGACAGAGGAACTTGGACTTTCCCCTTGATCCCTCTCTGTGCCTTGCCTAGGACAGAGATCTCCAATCCCCTCTCCTGCCACACAAACACATGTTGAAGTGGCCCCTGTTTCAGAGAATCACAATGTTAACTAACATCCATTCTCTATATACACCATGTTTCTGTGGAGGTGCCTTGAGTCACCTCCAGGGAGGCCCTCTTCATCGTGCCCTAATGTGAACGATAAAATCACCTTCCCCAAATGTGATGCCTTTGGTGGGGTCTAGCATCTCATATTGACATGTTCCCAGGTGAAGTGTCAAATTTGAATCCCCAAGGATGGAGCAGACTTACCTCCATCTGAAGCCATTCTTTCAGGTTTAGGCACCAACTGTGGCTGTCAGAAAAGCTTTAGAATGGGACAGTCAGGTCCAGGACCCAACAAGTAACGTGGCTCCAGTTAGATACACAGGGATCTAAGGAAGGAAGGATAAAGGTCAGATCAAAACAGAACTAGAATCCAAGACTCAAGGCATTCTGTTGTGGGGGAGGGGAGAGGGAGAGGTTGGGTGGGGAGATACTCCATTAAGTGGGCAGTAAGCAGGAATTCCCTCCAAACTAGAGCTTGGCAACACAATTGACACCTCTTTAGAGCAATTTGTAAATTCTTTCTCAAACCCCAGCATTACTATTTTACATTTTGGTTCCCTACATTGTGATTCTTCACCAACATATGTCATTTTGTGCCCAAATTCCACCCTGTTATATAATTAAGTTTGTACTAATAGCAAGTTAGCAATAGAATCCTGACTTAATTCAATGATGCCTACATTCTCTGAGCCAAATTCAGAGCACACTGACTGTATACTTAAGGGTCAAGGGAACCAAAGTCTGAAATTAGAATTATCAGATGATCCAGCTGTATGCATGTCCTTGCCTTGGAAACTGCCCTGCAGTACCCAAACAGTCCACTAGCCTAAACTCGGCAGTCCACAGGAAGCCACAGCCTTACTTTTAAATGAAAAGGGCCACTAAATAAAAATCTGACCATGCAGCCTAAAATTTTAAGACCAGAAAATATTTTTTGTGTTAAATTATTTTTAATTTTTAAAAATAAGTAATATATTTGCATAGTTCAAAAGTCAAACTGTGCAAAATTGAATATATAGCAAAGAGTTTACCTCCTACCTCTTTCCCCTATAACCAAGTTCTCTATCCAAGAGAAAAAACAATTATCATTTGTTTTCTTGTGAATCCCTGCAGAGACATTTATGCAACTACAAGAAACCCCAATCCGTATTCTTTAGGAAAAAAAGTTCAGATTTTTCTGGTTAAAAAATTAAGATACGTTCCAAAGTTTTTGTCATTATAAATGACGCTGTAAATATGATCATCTTTGTAATGATATCTTGGTTCCAATTTTCCTGTTTTAAAACTAGACGCCTACGAGAAGAATTTCTATGTTCTAAAAGTTCGAAATACTCCTAGAAGGTGTGCCTTAGTATATTATTATTAGCTACTCACCACTATAAGAAAGAACGCTGAATTTGCAGTAGAGACTTGAGTCTGTATCTTGGTTCCACCACTAAAGCACAGTTCCCCAGTTTCATAAAGTAACTTTACGTTCTCTTTGCTTTACAGAATATTGAATACCCGTCATGCACTCTTTACCGCCAACTCTTTGAAATGGAACCGAGGAACTGGATATAGAAGAGGGGAGGAAAGAAAACCACCTTCTTTCTTCCCTAGAGTAAAGGGGTTCTGAATCCTGGAGCCCTCTTTTCTTCGGGCACTAGAAACCCATTGCACCTGAAATGGGCGTGCATTAAGATAAAGACAGGATTCCATACATTAATGTTCAACCTATACCCATCCATACCCCCCTCTGGCACGGTGGACAATATGTCTAGCACACAGTGGGCACATTCCACGCGTTTTAGAACGCCTGCAAAGTTGCAACTGGGCGCCCCAAGCAAGTGATCCTCTGGTGCGCCCCCTTCTGGCTGGATAGAAAACAAGACAAAATGGACTACATTTCCCAGCATGCTGGGAGATAGCCTTCCGGTTATGGGGGCCGGAAATTGAAGAACACGTGGGGCAGTCAAACAGACGGAGCTACAAACGCAATTGGAACTTCGGCTCTAAGTGTGGTCATGTTTCTCCAGTATTACCTCAATGAGGAAGGAGATCGGGTCTATACACTGAAGGTAAGGAGAGGAACAGGGTGTGGGTGGGCCTGGTGAGAAACGTAGGTGGAGGAGTGGTTGAGAGCACCCACCGAGTTACTTAGGTGGGTGCGGAGAACCATAAGGTCCCGAACCGTGGCCGGGGGGAGCCGGGAGGGCACAGCTTCATAGGACTGTCCTTTCGCCTGTCTTTCTGCTTGCCCCTTCTCGCTTTGCCGCCTCCTCCTTTCACCGCTCCTCTGCTGAGATCATGTTCTCTTTCTCGAGCAGAAATTTGACCCTATGGGACAACAGACCTGTTCGGCCCACCCTGCTCGGTTCTCCCCGGACGACAAATACTCGCGACATCGAATCACCATCAAGAAACGATTCAAAGTGCTCATGACCCAGCAACCGCGGCCTGTCCTCTAAGGGTCCCTTAAATTTCATGTTTTTTCTGCCTCCTGCTACCCCTCGGAGACTCCATAACCAAATTCGATCTGTCCGTCATGAAGTCATTTTTCCAGCCGTGCTCTTTAGAGTCCACGCTCTCCATGGTCTATGATCATGCTCGTGTGCGGCAGTCACGGTGGCATCTCCTAGAAAGGGAACAAGTTTGACTCTTCCCCCCCCCCATTTGAGACTTCTGCCAAGTTATTAAAGATAAAATGATTTGAAAGAGGTCTTATTTTGTGTGTTCTTGAAGGAAAGGTTTGCCAATTTAGAAAAAACAAGGGAGATGGACGAGAGTATCTCAGGGAGTTGCAACAAACCTCTTGAAAGACTTTTTTTTTTTTCTTTGCCCGAGCTGGGCTTGAACCCACCACCTCCGGTATGTGGGGGCATGTGGGGCCGGCGCCCAGCTCCTTGAACCACAGGTGCTACCCCTCTTGAAAAACTTTTAAGTCCTTACTGTAGCTGAAGTAGTGAAGTAGTGAAGTAGTGCTGTTAGTGATTGGTGGGTGTTGGGGAAAGGGAAGGAAGGTTAGCTGTTAGCCTTCTAACATACCCCTGTCATTGCTGAAGTAATACCTTGCCCCTTGAATTAACATTTTGATTGATAATGAAAGAATTGCCTGGAAAAGTAATCAATAACAGCCATGTTGTAGAGGGAAGGCAGTGAATTGGGAATCAGGAGACCAGTATTCTTTGTATAACTTTGAGAAAGTTATTTAGCCTGTTTAGTCTCTTTTTTCCCCTCGTTTGTAAGTTGTTCTCCAACTCTAAGATTGGTAAGTTCATTGGTGGATCTTACTGTATCTACAGTGTTTGTCCAACCGTCTGAATAGGAATGCCTTTATGTGCGTTTATTAGCCCATCTGGAAATATTCCCACACTTTTGGTTCTGTCCATCAAGAAATTGTCATCTTACATACACCTAACTTTGTATTCTGTTTGATAGCTAGCTATGTGGAACTCTGTGCAGATCTTAATTTAGAAGATTATATGTGAGAGAATCAACCAGGAATTTTTGTGCTTTTTTTTTTTCTTCAAGCTACTGTGAGGGCTTAATTTTTTATTTTTATTTATTTATTTATTTTTTGCAGTTTTTTGGCCAGGGCTGGGTTTGAACCCGCCACCTCCGGCATATGAGGTTGGCGCCATACTCCTTTAGGCCACAGGTGCCACCCGGGGCTTGATGTTTTAAAATTAGAAATTTTTTTTTTTTTGAGACAGAGCCTCAAGCTGTCCCCCTGGGCAGAGTGCCGTGGCATTACAGCTCACAGCAACCTCCAACTCCTGGGCTCAAGCGAGTCTCCTGCCTCCCCCTCCCAAGTAGCTGGGACCACAGGCGCCCGCCACAACGCCCGGCTATTTTTTGGTTGCAGCCATCATTGTTGTTTGGCGGGTCCGGGCTGGGGATTCGAACCTGCCACCCTAGGTGTACGTGGCTGGCGCCTTAGCCGGTTGAGCTATAGGCGCCGAGCCTAAAATTAGAAATTAATTAGGACTTGAGCTTCTATCTTGGGGCAGTCATAAATTATTTTTAACCCAATTACTTCATATTAGAGGAATAGTAAGATAAAAATTGTATACAAGCATTCCAGAAGTGCTAACTTGCTGCTGCTTCTTGTCAAGTTAATCAACTCAGTATTTCCTCATCTCCTCTTTCATAGCTTTTGGCATTGGATTTGAATATGTTTGCCCAGTGCTGCTGATTTTAAAATTGCTTTGTTGAGCTAGGAGCAGTGACTCACACCTGTAATCCCAGCACTTTGGGAGGCTTAGATGGGCAGATTAGTTGAGCTCAGGAGTTCGAGACCAGCTTGAGCAAAAGCGAGACCTGGTCTCTAAAAATAACCCAGCGTTGTGGCTAGTGCCTGTAGTCCCAACTATTCGGGAGGCTGAGACCAGTGAATCACTTGAGCCCATGAATTTGAGGTTGCTATGAGGTATGACTCCATGGGACTCTACCAAGGGTGACATAGTGAGACTCTGTCTGAATAAATAAATAAATAAAATTGCTTTGTAGGTCTGGTATTCTAATTCTGCAGTCTTTATTTAAAATTATACCAAAGTTCTAGACTCCAGAAGCAGATATAACTTAAATCAGCACAAATGTGATTTATGAAGACTGGTCCTAGAAAGGAGTAGTATGTTTTTCTTGTATCCTGCTTTTTGACTATCCCAGCAGAAAAGTTCATGAAAGTTGTTAACAGCTAATAAAAAAAAAAAAAATTCCTCAACTTGGGTCATAGGTAACAGAAAACAGTTTTCAAATAAGTAACTTAAATGTATAGGAATGGTGAAATGAGATGTTTGCTTCTCTGTCTAGCAATTTTATTTCCTAGCCTGTTCACTTACAGCAGTGATCAACTGATGTGCCACAAATATTTTTAAAGATCATTAGTTAAATTATTTTTGAAAGGGCAAAGCACAAGGAAATATTTTTTTAAATTCTTTTTTGAGCAGAAGTTTAAGTATAGGTTCAAGTGTGTTGTGTGATTTAAAAGAGGTTGAAAACCACTAATTTACAGGGTTCTTAGCATTGAATCTGAAGAATATTAAGGAGTTACACAAATAAGGGGATAATGATCGGAGAAGTGTTTAATTTTTTTTAGACAGTCACTCTGTTGCCTAAGGCTAGGGTGCCATAGCATCAGCCTAGCTCACAGCAACCTTAACCTGAATTGGAGCAATCCTCCTGCCTTCAGCCTCCCCAGTAGGCAAGACTACAGGGGGCTCCACAATGCCCAGCTAATTTTTCTATTTTTAGTAGAGACAGGGTCTCGCTCTTGCTCCGGCTGGTCCAGAACTGAGCACAAAGTCGTCCACTCACTTTGGCCTCTCAGAGGGTTAGGATTATAGGCGTGAACCACCATGCCCAGCCTAGAGAAATGTTGGAAAGGCACCCAAGTCAGTACATTAATTCCAGCTGTCAGTTGGTTTTTTTTTTTTTTTTTTTAAAGTTGATTGTTGGTTGTCTTTCATCTTACAGTAAAGAAAAGGATTGGCATTGTTCTATGCTACCAGCTGTGTAGACTGAAAAGACTTTAACCTGGAAATACGAATGAATATAGAAGAGAAAAGTTAAACTGGCATAAATATACGAAGGACTTTTCCTTAAGAGATTTCCTGAGTATTAATGTCGGAAACATACATTTATAGAGCATTATTGGGCTTGGAGACAAGAAGACTTTTTTTTTTTTTTTTTAATTGAGACAGAGCCTCAAGCTGTCCCCCTGGGTAGAGTGCCATGGCATCACGCTCACAGCAACCTCCAACTCCTGGGCTCAAGCGAGTCTCCTGCCTCAGCCTCCTAAGTAGCTGGGACCACAGGCGCCTGCCACAATGCCTGGCCATTTTTTTTTTTTTTTTTTTTGGGGTTGCAGCCATCATTGTTGTTTGGCGGGTCCGGGCTGGATTCGAACCCGCCACCTTAGGTGTATGTGGCTGGCGCCTTAGCCGCTTGAGCCACAGGCGCCGAGCCGACAAGAAGACTCTTAAGAGGTATAGCGGATTGGAATTATGTAGTATATGTAAGTAAATGCAAATACAGGGTGGTAGGAAACAAAAATTGGGTGTTATAACAATTCAGCATCTCTTCATACAGGAAAGTCTGTGCAGTTTGAATGTGCAGTTTCCTATCTGAGGAAAAAAAAATTTTTTTTTCTTTTGAGACACAGTTTCACTTTGTCACCCTTGGTAGAGTGCTGTTGCGTCACAGCTCACAGCAACCTCAAACTCTTGGGCTCAAGTGATCCTCTTGCCTCAACCTCCAGAGTATCTGGGACTACAGGCGCCCCCCACAACGCCCAACTATTTTTAGAAACGGGGTCTTCCTCTGGCTCAGGCTGGTCTCAAACCTGTGAGCTCAGGCAATCCACCTGCCTCGGCCTCCCAGAGTGTTAGAATTAGAGGTGTGAACCACCAAGCCCGGCCTCATCTGTGGTTTTTAAATGATGTTTTCAGAGATCCTATAAGGGAGATTTTCGGGTTCTGAGAGTAAGGGGCATAGCCAACTTTCTAAGAGGGATCCAGAGTGAGTTTGCAAAACAGCCTGGCCACCAGGTATAACACTTCACGTGGCTCAGCCCTGCGCCGACTACAATTCCCGTCCTCCCCTTGGTCCTCTGTTTGGCCCCGCCCCTCCTCCGCCCGCCGACGGGCGCAGGCGCGCTACGTTCTGTCTCCGCGGGCTGCAGAGGTTGGGCAGGGCGCTTGGGCACCCTGAGATAGTGGCGCCCTCCCACTGCTCCCCAAGGCTTTTCTTCGGAAGGTTAACCTCGAATGAGGAACGAGCTGGGCGGGAAGGGAGGGGCTGCGGCGGCGCGGGCACAGCCCGCCGGGCCCGGGGCGGGGGGCAGCGAGGTCACGTAACGGCTGCTCCCGCGTCTGGCCGGGCAGGGGGCGCCCGCCCCGGCAGCCCGAGCCCTGCTGCGCGCGCCGCGGCTGGGAAACAGTTACCGGCTAGTAAACAACAGCTGCGCGCGCACCGCATCAGCTGGCGCCGGGATCCCGCACCTGCGACCTCCTCCTACCCGCGTCCCCGCTGCCCCTCCTGCCCAGCCGGGGCCAGCTCGCGTGGCGTCTCCTCCTCTGCTGGGATCCGAAGGAAGAACGGCGAGGGGTTGACCTCCGCCGGGGACGGGGTAGGGGAGAAAGCGTTTCCCGGCAAAGGGGTGGCCGGTCCTGTCACGCGCAGGAGAAACCTAGCGAGCCGAACGGGGGCTCAGTGGACTAGCAACGACTTGCCACGACCCTGACCTGCAGTTTGAGGTGTCTTGATCTGCTAGCCTCCTTCTCCCAGATCCCAGGGACTTTTGTGCCAGGAGAAGAGCGGTCGTGCCACCCCCGCAGACCTTTTGGAGGCAGGAATCCTCTCTACCCCTGCATCCTTCTCCGCTCGCCCTTCTTTCCTCATTCCCCTCTGTCTAGTATTCGTGGGTTATTTTTCCCGTTATGCATGCGCACCTTTTCCACCAGACGCAAGTGGATTATCGACCTCAAAAACATCCGGTGGTTCTACACACACCACCTTCCAGCCAGACCTGTGAGGTATTCACCTGATACACAACAGGTGGCCGGGAGTACACCTTTTCGCAATCTGATCCACGATATATTCACCTGATAAGGGTGGGCTACACGCCCTTTGCTCAGCTAGAACCGTGGGACACTCATCAGATAAAGGACTTACTACCTCAGCAGGAACCTGGGGGTTGAGGGGAGGGAGGCTTT